ACGGGTGTTGATCAGTAGGAGCGGCAGTTTTCAATGGATCCTCATCAGCGGTGGCTGACGGCGATATCCTCGATTTGAGTCCAGCGCTGTGAAGAAGTTGGCGGTCTCCATGCAATGCGGTGCCGTTTTTCGAGTGAGAAGTTCGTGCTTGACATAAACAATCCGTGGTTAGCACAAAGTTGGAGTAGGAATTCTCCGTTGTCAGTCCTGTTGGTTGGGATTGCATGTAAACTATCATGTAGCCTCTCTGATTCGTCCAGGGATCCTACTTGAGCACTGAAGTCTCCAACGACTACCACAATGTCTGTTGATCGAGCACTTTGGAGCAGTCGAGAGAGGTTCTTGTAGAATTCATCCTTCATTTCTGGTGAACTGCAATCGGTCGGTGCATACACCGATACGACGAATAAGCACCGATGCTTCGTTCTGTAGCTGTTGGCGCTTACTGAACCATCCAGGCGAACGGCGCAAAGTTGGCTGTTAACCGGGATCCAATCAAGAAGTGAACGCTCGGCCTTGACACTCAGCAAAGTCCCAACACTAGCAACACCGCGAGCTTCGGATGCCAAATCGCCTGACACACGAAGGGTGAAGCGGGAGGTTGAATCAGGAGAACGCAAGGAGATAATGGAAGTGAGGTCTTGTATGCGTGTTTCGGAGACACAGTATACATCTAAATGGAAGGTTTCAAGGGTTCTAACTAAGGCAGTTTGTTGACCGATCTAGTAGAGTGCGCGGACATTAAATGCGGCTGAGTGGAAAGGAGATTTTGGTTTAAAAAATCTGATAGCCTCCTAAGGTTTGGGGGTGAGAAGAGGGGGTGGACGGAGTGGAGCGGCTACAGCGAATAAAGCCCAAAGCGACGGNCGGACGACAGTTTGGTGAGCGCAAGACATGGTCCAGTCAGTGAAGCCCGCCAATCTGAATTCGCTGAACCAGCAAGTTTGTCTCTAACAAACTCCCAAACACATGATAGCTCACCTCCAGATTACTAACCCGTTCGCTCCACCCCAAATGGGACAAACTAAGTAAGCACTGAAAATCGAAAACTTCTAGTCGATGGGTATTTTCTACTCACAAATTCTATGTCTCACAACGATCGGGCAGAACAGAAGAAACGGCAGCACAATTAACACGACCTTTCAAATTCAGCGAAACGTTGTGTCTACGCCAAAGGTACTTCGGGCCTGTGTATGTTGCTTGTGCTTTCAAAATGCGAGCGGTTATTTCCTTTGCTGGGCTGCCGTCATTAGTTACACAACTACCTAAGTAGGAAAAGTCACCTACTATAAACAATACCGAGTCATTTAGGTTCAAAGCGAACCTTACTGATCGCTGCCAAGCTCACAACGTACACAAATCACGTGATAAAACACAAGATGGAGCGAGATGGGCCTAATTGGAGGGAGGCAAAGAAAAAGAACCGCTATGGTCAACACACAGTACATAACTTAAGTGTGCATACATATCTTTTCAAGAACTCTGACCTGATAAGAAATGGAAACAAGAACTCAACTACTGTCGGCTAGTCACCGTATCCTTTAGTGTCTCCAACCAGTCAGTTGCAGAGTCTTTTGGACCCCAACATGGAAGACGAGAGACACCGATTCTACCTAATCGCTCCGTGCATTTCTTCATACCTGGTTTCCACGTCATCTGTTGACCACCACGCGGTTTCTTCCAACCTGGAGCTACAACTGCGAATAAGGCACGATGCGGTAGACGACAGCTGGACATGCGCAATACGTGACCTAACCAGCGAAGCCGACAAATCCGAATTCGATGGGACGAATTCTCCATCGAATCATTACCAAATAGGCGATGCCTTACCTCAGAGTTGTTTACAAGTTCGCTCTATCCAACCTGCACCAAATTACGTAAACAACGCCAGTCGAAGACTTCTAGACGACGCAGATCTTCCACGTGCAAATCTAAGGTCTCGCAACCACAGAGCAGAACTGACCGCACACTGGCGCAGTATACGCAACCTTTCAGTTTCAACGAAACATCGCGTCTGCACCAAAGGTGTTTCAGTCTTGCGTATGCTGCTCGAGCCTTGGAAATGCTGAAGATAACTTCATCGATTATGCTACCGTCATTTGTAACGCAGCTACCTAGGTAGGTGAAATATTCCACTACAGCTAGTTCTTGACCATCAAGCATCAGCGCTGGGGTAGACGACACCCAGTCTTGTAGCATTACTTTGCATTTTGAAGGTGCAAAGCACATACCGAAAGGAGTTACGGAGCTTGCTAGTCTGTCTAGAGCGCTTTGCGCATCCTCCATACATTCGAGCAGACAAACGAAGTCGTCAGTGTACTCTAAATTTTACAACTTGTCTCCACCTGCCCTTTCAATACCTACGTTTTGGAGACCACTTGGTGCGTTCTCCAGTATTTCATCTACGACGGAATTGAACAGGAATGGCGAAATAAGGCATCCTTGACGAACGCCGCTCCTGGTTTCGAACAAGTTACTCAGCCCACCGTAGATCCTTACNCCGCAGTAGGTTTACATACTTCCGCGGCATTCCTCTGCGGAGCAGCGACCCCAGAAGAGCTTCACTGTCAACTGAGTCGAAGGCTCCTTCTAGGTCAAGGAACACTGCGATTGTTGGCTGATGTGTGACGCAGCTGGAAGATTGACGCAGAATGAAGATTTGGGCGATGCAATGGTGACCTGATCAGAATCCGGCTTGCTGTTCGCGGATATTCATCTCCCTTAAGGGTGTCAGGTGACGAAGTATCACAGAAATCAACACTTTTGTGATTATTGGAACTAAACTAATCTCGCGGTGGCTTGTGCTGTCGTTGCGTGATCCCTTCATGAAGATCGAGATGATCAACGATTCACCCCAGGACAAAGGCATACG